AACAGGCCAGGGGCAGCGCCTATGGCTCAAAAGAGTAGGGCACCGGCTCCATATGCCAGAGGTGGTGGGTTCAAACTCAGCCCCAGCAAAAAAAAAAAAAATGCCTGTAATCCTAGCACTCTGGAGGCCAAGGTGGGTGTATTATGTGAGCTCATGAGTTCAAGACCAGCCAGAGCAAGACCCTGTCTCTAAAAACAGCCGGATATTGTGGCAGGCGCCTGTAGTCCCAGCTACTCAGGAGGCTGAGACAAAAGGATGGCCTGAGTCCAAGAGTTTGAGGTTGTATTGAGCTGTGATGCCACGGGACTCTACAGAGGGCAACAAAGTGAGACCGTCTCTAAAAAAAAAAAAGAAAAGACAAATATCCAGCATACATTTGATGTATTTTTTAACCTAAGGATCGATACATGGGAGTTGCAATTACTACCTAAATTAGCTCAACAGAAAATAAAGTGAGCTTTCTGAAAACTATTTTTGGTTTTATCTTTCAAGTTCAAGAACTAGTAACAGTTTTTTTTTATTATTTTCAATATGGACGTAAACATCAAGGGAGTCTCTGTCTAATGAAAAGTAACCTTTGATAAGAAGAGGAAGGCGCTGGCAAAGCAGAGCGTCAGTGATTGTCAGCCGTGGATCCCACCCTGATCCCGCCATTTACTAGTTCTGCACCAGTATCTCATCTGACAGCTGGGAACACCACCATTTACTTTTTTTTTTTTAAAGACACAGTCTCACTCTGTTGCCCAGGCTCAAGTGCAATGGCAATATCATAGCTCACTGCAGCCTTGAACTCCTGGGAGCAAGCAATGCTCCCGTCTCAGCCTTCTGAGTAGCTGGGACTATAGAACATGCCACCGTGCCCGGCTAACTTATTCACTTTTTGTAGAGCTGGGGGGGTCTCACTATGCTGCCCAGGCTGGTCACAAATTCATTACCTTCTGAGAAGTGAGATGATGCATGTGAAGACCTTGACAGGCACCTGATTCTCCTGCAACAGGTCCCCCCAGCTACCAGGCTACAGAGGCCACTCAGTAATAAACTAGGTCATCTTCACTATGCCAATTAAATTAAAAGCTATTTCTTACTGTTGTCGCAAACAGACTGAAGTAGCAATGATAAAACAACAATGTTTATGACCAAGACATGTTTCTGTGGAAAATTTGAGAAAGAAGTAAGTATCTTATAAAGATGTCTTTTTTTGGGGGGGGGGGAGACAGAGTCTCACTATGTTGCCTACGGTAGAGTGCTGTGATGTCATAGCTCACAGCAACCTCAAACTCTTGGGCTCAAGCGATTCTCTTGCCTCA